AATTTTTTTTAAGTATCGCAGGCTTATCTTACAAAGAAACAGAAAATATTCAGCGTCACTCGATAGACTTGAGTTGTAACAGTGCGACAGCGACACTGAAAAAGTGTGCTTAGAAAAAGGGGTTAACGATTTCGAGTACTCTGTACTCTACTATGGGAGAGCTGACAGCCGCCCCTTAGGCCTCACACTTGATAAGGTCGTATGGAAAAAGACTTTCACTGGGACGAAAATGTACACTGTAACCTACAGCACAAGCAAGATTAGGAAAACGGGGATATCCCTGGTAGGTGTCTCGACTGAGCCAAGGTTCGACCCTTATAAAATGTACGCTGAAAAAGTGGGCATTTCATCGATAGACTGGGCATGTTTTTTTTCTCCAGCTACGTCCTCGACAGCGTTAGAGCCCTTAACCAAGCAATTGAATGCGTGCAATTATAGCTCATCGTTCGCTTATTATCTTTAATAATACGAATTTCCTTCGAAGTAAACATTGGAAACAGTATTCAGTATTCTTCATTAAAGGTCATAAATCCGACTGCCTAATTGCATAATGTACACACGCAGTTCCAAATGCTAACGATTCTAATTTAATTTGTTATGGTGAGTACCACAACTGCTTTTAAAAGTCTATCGGTGGAGTTTTAGGGGTGAGGCTCCTTACGCCGTGGGTCGTGTGTCCCGTGTCATCGTAGTAGCCAGTTGGATTGTATTGAATGTCAACAAAAATAATGTCACACCATATACACGGAGTGAATGATGATGAGTGGGCTGAAGAGTCCGTTCGTGCGTCCGTCCGTCCGCTTCGCCTCACTCGTCATCATTCACCTCGTGGATATGATGTGATATTTTAGGGGCGAAGCTCCTTAAGGCGTGGGCTGTGCGTCCCCTGTATGTAGCCACCTCTCGTTTAGTTTTTGCAGTGTTCACTGGATGGCGGTGCCGTACCTTGTATGTAGCCACCTCTCGTTTAGTCCTCGCAGTGTCCACTAGATGGCGTTACTTGTAGCTGATGATGAAAAGATGCAAGATGTTATAAACTATACGGCAGTACTTGAACATGATGACGAAAGATGCGAGAAGTTATAAAATGGGAAGGATGTTACATATGGTGCGTGTCATTTGTGGAAGGCAATCGTTTGATTTAGTGCGGCGACGTACGCTAGGGGGAGCGTTGAAATGAAATCGAGTGGGCAAAATTTACGGAGGATTCATGGTTTACGAGGTTTACCTTCAGAGCTTCGCCCACTCATCATCATTCACTTCGTGGATATGGCGGCACTTTTTAGTCTGTCTCTCACTGTGGCATTGAGCCATGCGGTGTAGATGTTGCAAGTAGACTACTAGTCACTGTGATGTTTTTTGACACTTTTCACGACTTAATTATAATTAAATACATGAGTATTACTTTATTATGTGTGCCGCTGCTGAGTTTCATGAAAAACTTTGCAAAGCCAACAGTAATCATTGTAGAAGGGACAAGGCGCACAACGTTGTCTATATTTCAAGAACTTGAGGTTGTCCATGGCTTCCAGTAAAGCACTCAATCATACAATTTCTGGTGAAAATTGAGTCCATAATTTGCGAGCTAAAACAAGATGAAAACGAACCCACATAAACGTGCAAGGCTTGCACAAATTCAAATTGTTCTGCGAAATTTAGTGTCTTGCTTGATTTGCTGAAGTTGTATTTATGCATTGAATCTTTTGTTTTCTAATTAGTGCCATTTTTTGTTCCAAACATTGTATCTTTCATTTCGTCTCAACATTCTTTCTTTTTCCTTTGAAAACCGCATTATGGCTTTGAAGACTGATCCTAGTTACTTACGAGGTTATTAAAAAAATCGGCAGACCACGTACCTTGATAATCGACGTTATGCGAAGTACGTGGAAGGTGTTTGACTATGTGGTAATTAGAGCACCGTCACGAAATGACTCGAAAGATACGAACAAATGTATACGCACAGACATACGTTGAACAGTCGCGTATGTTTTAGGTAACCAGTTGTTTACACTTGCGCAACGGTTCCAAACAGCACGAAAGGGATACTGGCAGCACCAGAAGGAGTAAGCTGATACGAAGCGCTGGCGCTCGTGAAGATGATATAGCCCTGCACACTGCTACATAAATAAACTTCACCGGATGGCGCTAACTCCATCTGACGTTAACCTGACGTGACGGCTGTATCATAGGAATACACATGCAATGCTTGTATAAATTGATTGATTTGTGAGGTTTAACGTTACAAAACCACGATGTGATTATGAGCGACGCCGTAGTGGAGGGCTCCGGAAATTTCGACCACCTGGGGTTTTTTAACGTGCACCCAAATCTGAGCACACGGGCCTACAACATTTCCGCCTCCATCGGAAATGCAGCCGCTGCAGCCAGGATTCGATCCCGCGACCTGCGGGTCAGCAGCCGAGTACCTTAGCCACTAGACCACCGCGGCGGGGGCACTTGTATAATGATGTAGTCAGCACTGGGACCATAACTGACGTTTCACTAACATTACGCCTGGCCTTTTTTCAAGACTGTTTCGAGACCTGGCGTCGCTCTGTGATAGAATACCTGATTGCCACGGAGAATGCTAGAGTTCAATTCCTGCTGAGGCCCTGATATTTATCCCTTGCGTTCGTCGGTTGAGCGCAGTCGATTTCAGCTTTTTTTTTTAACGCTTTCACGTTAAAATTAGCCACGTCTGTTCTCGTCGTCCCTCGGTGGACACAAATTGTCAATCACCTGTGGCAAATTCGAATACCTGCGGCACATACCCACCTGTGGTATACGGGTATGTGCCACACGTGTCTTGCATGCGTAAAGGGTTTGACGATGCATATACGCGACGAGATTGTCACATTCTTCATGTCGTGATCACCAAGTCATATTCGTCAAACCATCTTACCCTCCCATACTAACTTTGAGACAGAGAGAAAGATAATATCAGAAAGGCAGGGAGGCTAACCAGACTAAGTCCAGTTTGCTATAGCCTTCAGCCCAGAAAGCCTCTCGAGCCCTTCTACAATTATTGAGGCCAACATCATTCAGCGACCGCCTATTAAACCTGCACTGCGTGAGCGGTGTGAGTGTTATGTGCAATGTGTACCTCCTCCTTCTCATCTTCTCTCTCTTTTTCTCCATCATTCCCCTCTCCTCCCATACTACTTTTGGTTCACCCAGGGTTAAAGGGGTGATTACGAAAGCACCCAGACGTAGGCTGCTATATATACTGTAGATAGATAGATAGATAGATAGATAGATAGATAGATAGATAGATAGATAGATAGATAGATAGATAGATAGATAGATGCTACATGATGCTGCCACTTACCAGTAACCTTGGGTTCGTTTCTTCAAATTACTGGTGTCTGGCGTCCATATCTCACGTGGAGCCTGTTCCCCGATTTTCTCGCGCACAACGTCAAATAAACGTTTTATTCCCTATCTCAAGACAGAAAACTCGTCTTTCGGCGACCTTTGCCAGCGAGGCACGCAAATGTGCCGTCAATTTTTAGGAATGGAGCTCTCTAGGCCGCGGGTCGTTCCTTCTTCTGTAGTCGCAGTAGTTAGTAGTATGTAGCCACTTCTAGTTTATGAGTTGCTCAATAGATGGCGCTGTGCGCACATGTCGTTTTTTTAGGAATTTTTTTAAAGGAGATCTATAAAAGTAACAAGGTAGTTATAAAGTGGGAAAAACAGGTATCTAAGCCCACAGAGGTGAAACGGGGGCTTATGAAGGGGTGTCCTCTGTCACCATTGTTATTCATGATGTATCTACAAGGATTAGAGGCCAAATTAGAGGGAAGTGGACTGGGCTTCAACCTCTCTTTCGTCAAACAAGGAAAACTCATTGAACAGGCACTACCAGCATTGATGTACGCAGATGATATAGTGCTAATGGCCGACAACAAGGAAGATTTGCAGAGATTGGTGGACATCTGCGGTAATGAGGGAGATAGATTAGATTTCAAATTCAGTAAGGAAAAATCAGCAGTCATGATTTTTAATGACAATGAAGGTAGTGAGCTCAGAATACAGGAAGTCACGCTAAAGATAACAGATAAATACAAATATCTGGGCGTATGGATAAGCGATGGGGCAGAGTACCTAAGGGAACACGAAATGTACGTGTCGACTAAAGGTAACAGGAATGCAGCGGTAATGAAAAACAGGGCACTGTGGAATTACGATAGGTATTATGTTGTGAGAGGAATACGGAAAGGGGTCATGGTTCCTCGTCTGACGTTTGGCAATGAGGTCTTGTGCATGAGATCAGAAGTTCAAGCAAGATTAGAAATTAAGCAACGTGGAATAGGTAGGCTGGCCTTAGGAGCTCACGGGAATGCACCGTCAGGGAGTGCAAGGTGATATGGGATGTACATCTTTTGAGGGCAGGGAAGCTAGCAGCAAGATGAAATTTGAAAAGTGATTGAGAGAAATGGGGGAGCAGCGTTGGGCTAGGAACGTATTCAGCTACTTCTACTAAAGAATGTCGATACAAAATGGCGAAAGCGAACCAGAAAATTGTCTGGTAAATACTTGAAAAACAGCAGGGGGCCAAACCAAAAAGAATGATCGGTTAAGAAGAAGGTGAAGGAAGCTGAGACTGATATGGGGAGAATTGGCATGATTAAGAAGTCCGCACTAGAGATCTATCGAACTTTTAAGCAGGAAATAGCCAAGGAAAGGATCTATGATAATACTCGGGGTAGTTCTCCACTGTTTGAGGCCAGAACGGGAGTATTGCGAACCAAGACATATCGGGCCAAATAGGAAGGGGTAGACACAGTATGCAGTGCGTGTGGAGAGGAAGAAGAAACTTCTGAACACCTGATAATGTTCTGTAAAGGGCTTCACCCTGTAGTTCAGGTTGATGGCGCAGAGTTTTTCAAAGCACTGGGGTTTAGGGACAGTGAGGGCAAAATAGACTTTAAGCGGATAGAATTAACTAGAAGGAGGTTATCTGATTGGAGGCTAAAGTCAAGGCACGAGTGAAAATTGAACCCTTCGCTACAAAGTACGAATCCTCAACCTCACTATTTAAGGAAAAAAAAATAAATATAGTTTTGTGTTCATTAAGTATTACGGCTTGGTGGTGCTAGCCACCAACCAATCTAAAGGGTACAGCCATATCCATCCATCCATCCATCAATCGTTGGGAATAAGATGGAGTTAGTCCCAGCATATCCACGGACTCAGTGATGATGAGTGGTGCAAAGCGTCCGTCCACCCGTCCGTGTGTGCATCCGTCCGATTGCCCGTCCGTCTGTCTGTTCGTACTTCCGTCCGTCCGTGAGTTCGTCCGTCTCTCTGTCCGCCTATGTATTCGTCTGTCTGTGTGTCCATGCGTCCATTCTTCCATCCATCCGTCCGTGCTTATGTCCGTCCGTCAGTGTCCGTTCATGCTTCCGTCCGTCTGGCTGTCCGCCCGTGCTTCCGTTCGTCCGTGCTTGCGTTCTTCTGTCCGTGAGTCCGTCCGCGCGTCCGTCCATGCGTCTGTCCCTCTATCTATTCATCTACGTGCTTTCGTCCATCCGTGCGTTCCTCTGTGCGTCCGTCTGTCCGTGTTTCGGTCTGTTCGTGCTTCCGTCCATTCGTGCGGCCATCCATGCGTCCGGATGGATGGACACTTCGTCCCACTCATCATCATTCACGCTCTGGAAATGCTGTGCTTTTTTTTTCTTTGATAAATCTCCGCCAACTAACTGTACTTCCTCTTCTCCTAAGGATGTTACAAGGTGATGGGGTAAACACCCGACGCCGGCGCTAGGCACTGCAACTTAGTCCAAGATGGTTATATTTTAACCTGTGTCCCGCAATACACGACGTGCCTCATGTTACCAGATTTCGTCTGGTAACATTTTATCAGATAACGCTAGCTGTGACAACTACGTGGTAGCAGTATTTTTTATATCGCAAGGACCCAAGTATACCCACACAAGGAGGAAAATCAAGGGTGGCAGCTTTATTCTAACTGCAGTTTATTGAAAGAACAATAAATGTCAGCCATTTCTTAAGCATAATCCATATACCCACAAAAGCTTTGTGAAATGCTTGTGGGAGGGGTTCTACGACAGGTTCCATTTCATGCTTTCTTTCTATAAGTGCTTTCGTTCACGCTTTCTTTTTATAAGGTTTAGTTCACCCCCATGTCGTCCCCCAAAATCTTTCTGCGCGCATGTCTAAACTGGGTCTTGCTGTGTGTACACGTACTCTGAGCTGTTTATCAACAATGTAATCGTATTTATCGTTTGCTCGCACGAATTGGGGAAAAAACTATCATAATTACGTGATTGGGTGCCCTGCTTAGCTATGACAGAAAGAGAAAAAAAGAAAGAAAAATTGGGAGAAAGAAAGCACAACATATAATCTTGTGTATTGTAGAAAATGATGGTAAAAGAAAGGGTAAGAAGAAGTGATACGAGGACATGGAGGAGGAAAAGAAGGAGAGGCAGAGTAAAGCATGCACAGTCTTGTTTAGTGTGGTCCAGCAAAGCATAAATAGCCTCCCATATATAGACTAGATGGAACTCTGACGCTATAGTGTCTATGGGAGCTGCAACGCACGGTGCTTCAGCGAGCATAGGAATGATGGGTAGTACAAAAATTTACCTTGTCTTCGTACTTTATGTTCCGTTTGGCTTCGCGGGGTTTGAAGCATGCTTTGTCACGAAGCAACAATCACCAATAGTTTATCAGTTATGATTCACCACCTTAATCTTTCATGCTCCACCAATTTGTATATTGTCACGAAGTTCAAAACGGTTTGTTCTTTTACTCGGAACCAAAACCAAAACAGATCAATAAACAAAGCCAAATGTACGTTCGAAGCAAGCAAGCACGAAGACTAGGGAAATTTCTGTACTACCCATAACTCCCATGTTGACGGAACGATAGCAGCGCCAGAGTCTCCTCTATGGTTAATTTTAGGAAACATCTCAGCAAAGGGGTGGTGAGAAAAGGAAGGTAAGGAAAAGAGAAGTGATTGAAAGCCGAGAAGGAGGATGAAGGAGAGGAAAGAGGGGAAAAGCGTAGCATAGGCCCATATTCACAAACCAACCTTGGCGTTCCCTCACGTCTTCCTCAAGTTCCTGTACTCAGTATACGTGCGTTATAAAGTTACAGAAATGGTAACAGGCTAAAATATAGCAACAAGATTGATTCATGTGTACTAGCCTACTTCGTTCAGCAAGCGCAATAACGGCTTAAAACCAATAAGGAAAACTCGGGCTAAGGTTGAGGTTGGTTTCCGAGTACGGGCCATTATCTTGTACCGTAATGGGTAGCAAGAGGTGGGAAAGAGATGTGTGGGTGAAGAAAAGGGAAATACCACCAGCTTATCTGAGACAGTCTTCGCACCACTCTTGCGTAGCTGCCCAATATTTAGGGCGCCTATAAAACCGAAGTTTTGTAAGATGTTCTTATAAAACATAATGAAATAATTGGAAGCGCAAACCAACGGGACACAAGAGAAGAGACAAACAAGCGCAGACCGAAACTGAATTTTCGCGCACATTTGTCTTATACGGCCATCGTGACACGAAAACTAGAGAGATTGTGGAAGCCTTTTTTATTAAAAAGAATATTGATAGTTGTGTTAGTTCACCGTCTATATCACTGTTAGATTGTGAAATCTCGTTTTTGGGCGACATCTGATCACGGTGGAACCTTCTCCCCAGTTTTTTTTTCCTTTTCTCATCTTTCTGGTATATAATTTCTTCTCTGAATAAACTGAGTTTCAGTCTGCGCTTGTTTGTCTCTTCTCTTGTGTCCCGTTGGTTTGCGCTTCCAATTATTTCATTATGAATTTGTACCAACTGAACTAGCCCGCCTGTCAACCCTTCTTGTAAAAGAGCCTTACCCGTAGTTCGCCGGAGGTACCGCAGAAGCGTCGGCACTTCTTCGTAGCGCTGGCACCTCCTGAAGCAGTCGCACGGCGCACCGTGGTAGAACCAGGCCGCCGATCCGTCTTTGTCGAATGCGACGTCCGACTCGATGGCGTTCGCACCTAGCTCCATGGCTTCGTCCACTTGCCAGATGGCGTTCGTCATGTGGTAGATGTTGTAGATGGGCCTCCGATGGAAGCCGCGGGCCTCGATGCAAGAAGAAACGCCAAAATACGGAGTAATCGTCGTAGCGCTAAGCATACTACGAGAATAATTGTTTCGAGACATGCAGAAGCGCGTTTCTAAGTGTGGCAGGTTGCATATGCGTCAATGACAAACTCATCCTCGCATCTCCACACTCTTTTATTCGATACAGACTTGACATTAACGACTTGACTTGACGATACAGACTTGACAGAAAATTGCGATACAGACTTGACATTAAGCCAATAGTGGTGTGTATATATGTACAAGATATGAGCTGTAAGAGCGATGTGGTGCAGGAAGTTCAGCAGCGTGTTGTGGAATCTCTTATTACGCATCGAACGCTCATTTCTGCGTGTCACTACGATAAACACTGGTTCCCAGTGGTAGACGGGGATGTTTTGATTGCAAACCTTGATATGTCCACATCAGGGGTACTTGATGATGATTTGATATGTGGGGTTTAACGTCCCAAAACCACCATATGATTATGAGAGACGCCGTAGTGGAGGGCTCTGGAAATTTCGACCACCTGGAGTTCTTTAACGTGCACCCAAATCTGAGCACACGGGCCTACAATATTTCCACCTCTATCGGAAATGCAGCCGCCGCCGCCGGGATTTGAACCCGTGACCTGCGGGTCAGCAGACGAGTACCTTAGCCACTAGACCACCGCGGCATCAGGGGTACTTGCGTATATATTCGAGCGAAGCTTGCAGTAACTGACTTTCAATGATTGTTCACTATCCCTCCAACGAGCAAATGAAGATCACATTTATTCACATAAAAACTCACCTTTATGACCTAAAGTTACGTTTTTATCGTATGGTAAGACTTACGAGGTCAGGAGTCGTCAGAAGGGCAAGAAGGAAGGCCAGGAGCCGCGCATACATGGTCCGTCGTTTCCCTCCTCTCTCGCTGAGCCAAGACGTCAGTCTGCGAATTTTAGACGTCACCGAAGTCTATGTAGAGTCAGCCTTCGAAGTATCCCTCACTGCTCCTCATTACTGCTCAGCTGGGACCCGAAAGTCCAACTCTGCGACGTCCCGTTAACTGAACATTACCACCGGGGCCCTCTGGGCTATATGGGTCCCCTTTCAGGCAATGACATGGTTATGAAACGTAATATTGACAGAATTTTGAGACGTCGTAAATGGTACATTCGTCGTGTACTTGATATCAGGGATAACGCTCTCCAAATACCGGTTTCGAACAACTCGTAAAAAATATCGTATTTTGATTTCAAAGTATCCGTCGTTACGCACCAGCAAGCGAGCCCCACCGGAATGAACATTATCTCGGCCAGTCAGCGCAGTTCCACCGAATTTGAGAACCCTGTACGTGTTGCATGCAGCCTAAGTCGCACACATCATTTTCGGAGTCGCTGTAAGGCAATTATTTAACTCAGCGTTGTATTTGCGTGCCCTACGGGCAGAGTTTAGATATACCGCTAGTAGATCGCGAATTTCTGGCTTCCCGTGACGTCTCACTGGGATGACGCGTCACTGAGAAGCCGCTCACTGGATGTCGAGACCGAAAGGTAGCGATAATAAAAACATATTTGGTATATTTCCAGGGAACGGCACCCGACACAAGTAAAAGCAACAACCCGGAAATATTTGAAATTCGTGTCAGTACTTTTTTCCCTCCCTCCCTCTATGGAACCCGGGCCTGTGCAACACTTGAGCAAAAGTGTATCTGGCAGCTCTGAATAACAAGTTGTATATCAGAGGATTAATTGAATGGCCGTTTCTCGACACCCCGCGCGTATACAACCTGTGAAAGATTCTTAAACCAAACGACACAGCTGAAGCCATCGCCACCGCGTTTACACAGTAATGAAACTTGGGTAATAGTACTTTTATGCACAGTCAAAATGAAGTGAAGAATTGCCCCTAAGATGTTAAAATCACTTCTTTTTTTTTCCCTTACGAGAACTTCCGGTTTTAAATGTCGGAGTAATGGCTATAGGTTACGAGGCTAGGGTATGTTCCTGTCTGAAGCATGCAAAGGGACATGGCTTGTGGCCTATACAACTTTTCGTGTGGCAATGGAAAGGACCTACGACCTGCCACTATCGCAGTGATTTTAACCACGTGCTCTTGAGGTGCCCCTCTTTACAAAGAAAAAAATCAAGAATTTTCGAAAATGCCTGTCATTTAATGCTTACGAGTCCGGTCCTCATACAACTCAAGGTTGTCCAGAAGGCCCACGATGCGGCGGTGACACATCTACGTGGTAGCGGCCCGCGATCCTATAGTACACCCCAATAATACGGAGGTAGAATCCTTCAGGACTCCGATAAAGTTATTCATCCATCCATTCATCCGGTTTGACGAAAGAGAGCTGTCATTCATGTGCGCGCCCATCGGGATCTGTTTTAATTTGGCCATGCATCGGGGCCTCTGAATGCAGTAATGGGCATCAAGTTACGGGGGACTACCTTCATACTTTTGAAAAAAAAAGTTTTAATGCCGTTAATTTAATGCCAAGAAATTTTCCGTAGGAGCAACTTCATTGAGTTTACATATATATTCTCTAGGCTAGAATTACGATTGACTCTCTGTAAGGGTGTAAAGCTTTGCACAGATTTATTTGTATGCGCTTCATATTTTCTTGCAAGAAAGAGAACGCGCTAATATGTCGTAATTAGGGCGTAGTTTCAGACGTGTTGACCTGAACTCAATCTTGTTTTATATTCGCACAAAAATGATTACATCTCAGGCTTGAATTACGTGGCCGTTTCGTTCCCACTTCTGTCCTTCCTGAACAAACAAATATTGTTTTGGCGTGCCCCACCGAACGGGGCATATGAAACCGTTCGTTGATCATAGTGGGATGTCTTCAGCAGCGCGCATCACAGTGAACTTAAGGGAGTGTTAACTTTTTTTTTTTTTGGGGGGGGGGGGGGGACGTGTAAGAATGTGCACGTTGCGTTTCAAGATGGTCGATGTGTTCGATACGCCTCTTTTGTTAACGTGTATGACTGCACACGTCGCTGCTAAGGGGGTGCAAAAACTGAAGAATTTTTGTTCATTACTTTTTAAAAGCGCATTTTCAACTGCTAGAAGAGTTCGTATGCGAAGACCATGGTAGCCGCGCCGTTGTAGAACTTTGGTAAAAAATATATATACTATAGGAAGCACCTTATAAATTGATTATATACACATGACAATACGGTTGAGGCGACCAGATATAAACGAATTACAGGTTCAAGTGACTGGTACGTCTAGATAGACTCACCTGCAAACCAACATCCTTGGATGAACCCTACTTTCCTGGGTGAGTGGCTAACTGCACACATTCCCGCACCAGCACCAAAGGTCAAGAAGAAATCCGGAGAAACGGACGGAGCTTGAACTTCCGACTAACTTCATTGCGGAAGGAATGTGGCGCTGCAAGCGCATTCCCAGAGTATCCTTTCGTAGTCATTCGAGGAAAAGCGATAACGTTCAGTAAATATGAAGTACAACACACATCGATGAAAGGCAAATACGTCGTAGAAGCAGTTGGTGAAAAAAAAAAAAGGAGAGGGTGGCCGGAGAAGGAGCGGGTGGCGTAGCGAGGGTGATTCTAAGAGCGATGTTTCTGCAAAGAAGGGGGAAGAGTGGAATCGTCTCTCAGTGAGATAAAATGTCTTTTCTAGCAAACTCTCAATAATTTCTAATAGAATCAAGTTCGCGCTGGTTCCTCATGCAGCATCTTCCACGAGGCCTGCAATCCCTTGGAAGAGTGACAAGACCTCTATGGTGTGGACTGTTCTTTGGAGGTAAGTTCTTGAGGACCAAATTCCAAGTGCTACAAATGGATAATGCCACCAACAATACAAGCCGCTCTTTCTAATATATTACTTTATAATTCTGTTATTACTATTATAATATTTGATTATTTTGATATTTGCCCCTTCTAATGAACCGCGTAACTGGAACGCGACATTTTAACAGCTAGGGGTTTTTTTTTATTGCGGCGTGAGCTACACTGGCCGAGGTTAAGCAGTTTCGCGTGGCTTATCGAGAGCCGTGCTGCGCATGCCCGAGGAGCAGTGACGTCACACCACGCACAGTTGGCGCGCCGGAGAAGGCCCGAAGCTCCTGGAGTGACATGTCACCAGGGGGCTGCCGCAGCGTTTGACTCACGTGAGCTTGCTCGCTGGTCCATCCACTCATTCGTGAGTCTGTCTGTCTGTCTGTCTGTCTGTCTGTCTGTCTGTCTGTCTGTCTGTCCGTCCGTCCGTCTGTCCGTCCGTCCGTCCGTCCGTCCGTCTGTCTGTCCATCCGTCCGTCCGTCCGTCCGTCCGTCCGTCCGTCTGTCTGTCTGTCTGTCTGTCTGTCTGTCTGTCTGTCTGTCTGTCTGTCTGTCTGTCTGTCTGTCTGTCGCTCAAGCTACGTATATCCTCTCATAGCCGAGCTAAGCCACTGCCACTTTTTTAGTCGAAGCCTTCACGTCCGGAGCCGGTGGTAACACAGGTGGACGTCATAAACAGGTATGTGCCACAGAAGCAGGGTGAATGAATCCTACTACTCGTCGCTCGTGAACCTAAAATGAAAGCAACAGTCGACCTGACAAGCGAGTATGCGCCACAGAAATCTGTGCAGCCTATGAGAAAGCTATCATCATCACAAACGCGTATACGTGCCACAGAAATCAGGTAAATTCCACTGCACACAAATTCCACTTAAAAAGAACGAGGCAACATGCAGCCCAACAAGTGGCGCACGTGGTGCCACAGTCACAGCACTGTCGCGTGATATTACAAAACGTGATGGCTATACTGACACCTCAGAGCTTAATAGTGTTTAATAAAGAACAGTGATACAACCTATCTGAAAAACATAAAAAACATAGTATTCCGACAGCCTGATCAAGGAAAGGCCAGCTTAGCTCTTTCATCAGTGTCCGTGAAGCCAAGTGAATTGAATCATTTCTTATGAAAATAAAATGACGCAGCAAGTAAAATGTCAAAAATTGCTTTGAGTACATGCTTC